GGAGATTTTGACTGATAACTGAATATTAAACCAATTGAACGAATGAATACGTATTAATATCCATTTTCATTTTTTGACCGGATATAGAATTGTCTAGTCAGTGTAATCACTACAGTAAAAAAATTTTTTTTTATTTAATTTTTTAATAAAAAAAACTGTTACGTATGTCCTACAATATATACAATTGAAATTTTTTGTTGGTAACGCGAGGATCTTACCTTGCCAACCACCCTAAGACCAAGAGTACCTGAACTGACTTTAATATCCTTAGTCATACCTCCTAAACGCACTTTCTGTATATGAGTGACGGGATGTAAAAATCTGTAAATCATTTCATCGTAGTGAATTCTACCCCTGACAGTGTTGTCAATTGTCTTGCATATTGGTAATTATCGCATCCATTTATTATATTATTTATTACATAACGATAATAAAAGGATGCGACAATTACCAATATGCAAGACATTTGACAACACAGTCAGGGGTAGAATTCACTACGATGAGAATAAGTGAAATCCCTCCCGAAATAATAAAAGATTTAACCTCCCTAACACTAAATTCTAAATCATGCAATGTCAGTGTACAAATTCTTTTATCAGGTGATACGATATATTTGCATATCAGATATATTTCTCAAAATAGCATACAACTTACTCTTGTTAGTAAAGTCATCGGGCCCAAAAAAATTTAATTTCATAAGCTAATATGTTTACGTAGCATACAAATTTGTGTGCTAACGCTAAGAGATAGCTATATCAAGATAAAATAACTTAACTGCTAAGTTATGGCGTTTTCTTATATCTATCCAAATATGAGTCCCGCCAAGAGAAAACTTGTCATCATTCATATGAATGTTGATGGCAGGTTTTTTCTCGGCGGTATCATATATGAACTATTGACTAACATAATTACAATTATTTATTATAGATTCACCAAGACTGAATTATAAAGCAAATAATGATGACGAACTGAAAAATATTATTAGAACAATCTATGATCAACACATCCACATGTTGATAGACGTATAAGATTACATAGCCACCGAATTTTTTTAACCAAATTTATATAAGAGGCGCATTTATTATAGGATTTGAACAATGAAAATCGTAAATAGTAAAGTTGTAGGTGACTAATACACTTTTGTCTCATAATTTATATTCTGGAATTTTATTGGTGAGATGCATTTTGTTTTTTTTTACTTGGCAGTAGCCAATAATTGATGTCCAAAAGTAATTTGTGCAGTATTTGTGCAAGATTCTCCTTGCCTAATTTTATTGCTTCGCTTTTTCTCCTGGCAAAGGGATATAAAATTATATATAGAATTATAGAATTATAGAAAGAGTAGTGCTGTACATTTTTGATAGTTCCAGCTTTTTTGATTTTGTCTCGTCCAGTCCAAGAATGCCCCAACTTTTATTCAACTTATAAAGCTATATCAAAAATTAATAAATACATGTAAAATTTTGAGCTATTGGTTTTTTTTTTTTCAACGCCCAACTGTCCCGTGTGCAACACTACCATTATCCATCCTTTATATAGCTCGCAATCCTGCGCTTGAACCTGTAATTTCGCATTTCCTTACTTTCACAACTTTTACGCACCTTTGAAATCTTAAACATGCATCTTATCGAGACAACAGTTACTACAGTTACCACTAACAATCATATCTTTTCGAAACAACACTGCCAAGTACTCCAAAATAAACGACAAACTATAGAAAATAGTATAAATATATCAACCTGTGAACCCAATGAAACTCGTATGGAAAATCTCGATAATAATTCTGTTAAGAAACTTTCAGAGGTTACAAATTCTCAAGACGGTTATGTGCTAGTGACTGGTGGTGCTGGTTACATTGGCAGTCATACTGTTTTAGAACTTTTATTAAATGGTTATAATGTCGTTGTTATCGATAATTTGTCTAATTCATGTGAAGGTTTGTAATTAATTTTCCTTAACAGGTTTAGACACAAAAATTAATTATATAATTTATTTCCATAATTAGAATCATTAATTCGAGTTCAAAAGCTCGCAAGGCGACCATTAAAATTTCATCATGCTGATATTTTGGATGAAAAGACATTAATACCTGTATTTGAGAAATATAATATTTGTGCTGTTTTACATTTTGCTGCTCTTAAAGCTGTTGGTGAATCAACAAAAATTCCTCTCAATTATTACTGGAATAATGTAACAGGTTCTTTGAACTTATTTAAAATAATGGAACGATTTGGCGTTTATAATATAGTATTCTCTAGCAGTGCTACTGTATATGGTCAACCGGATACAATTCCAGTAAATGAGAAATGTAGTTTAGGCCCAGTTACAAATCCATATGGAAAAACGAAATTATTTATAGAAGAAGCCATACGAGATATGTGCACAGCAAATGACAAGTGGAATGCCGTACTTTTAAGGTAAAAAGAACGAATTCATTTTATATATCTGTTTTTTTTTTTTTTTGTCTATAATTATACTTATCATCGTGCATTATCATTCTATCATATATAGATATTTCAATCCTACAGGTGCTCATCCATCTGGTGTTATTGGAGAAAACCCTCGTGGTATTCCAAATAATCTAATGCCTTATGTCAGTCAAGTTGTTCAAGGCCGTTTACCTTTTGTTAATATTTTTGGTGGCGATTATGAAACAGTTGATGGTACAGGTAACGTATTATGTTTTTATAGTTAATTATGATCCATATACTATGCAGGAAAAAAAAACCTAAAATATGGGTTAAGTTTTTTTTTAAAAAAAAAAAAAACTTGAAATCTGTATTACCATAATATAGACAATTTTTTTTACAACTTTAGTTTAAAGATGTTAGAAGAATAAAGGTGTTAAAAAAAACTGTCTAGACCCCAAGTTTTTTTTTAAAAAAAATATTTGGTTTTTTTTTTCTGCTTGATATATTAATTATTTCTTTGTATATTTATAATAAATTTTTTATTTAAAATTAATAGGAATAAGAGATTACATTCATGTTTGTGACCTGGCAACGGGCCATGTTGCAGCACTTCGAAAGTTAAAAACAAAGCCTGGTTGTGTAGCTTATAATCTTGGTACAGGTGTTGGATATTCTGTCATAGAAATAATTCAGGCCATGTCAAGAGCGTGCGGTAAAAAGATCCCTTACAAAATCTCTAAAAGACGTCCTGGTGATATTTCAGTTATAACAGCAGATGCAAGTCTGGCAAATATTGAATTAGGTTGGTACCCAAAGTATAACCTAGATCAAATGTGTCAAGACCTTTGGCGCTGGATTGATTCCAATCCATTAGGATATCCAGAGCCATCCAACGAATCAAAACAAAACTTTCTAAAAATGTCATCTTGATATAATATTATATAAGGTTTATTTGAATCTTTTTATTATATACACAAGGTGGCTTCGTTAAAAAAAAAAAAAAAAAAAAAATACTTAATTACAAAATTTATTATTTAAATCCGAATTATATATAATCCTAATAATAGTAATATTTTCTCTTGTAAATCACAAGACTCCAACTTAAATTGCAGTTTTTTGTGATACTATATAACTGTATCATATATTCCCTTTCTAGACTCACATTCTCCCGAAACATTTATTTATTTCATTAATCTCTTCTTATTTAACAAATACTATTGATTAAAGTTGATCAATTAAATATCTAAAACTTTAACATGTGTTTTAAAATTATCAGAACCATTTATAACACTTCGATACTTTATCGTAATATATCTATTGTATCATAATTATCAAAATTAATAGAAATAAACACTTTATTTATTATTATTATCGTTATTATGCTTGTATTCCCCTAGCATAATCATTACAATCAATTATATAACTTGTAAGTCTATTATAAAATTCTTTCATATAAAAAGTGATATTCGATACAAGGAATGAATAAAACGTCTCTTTATTAATTGAATATATTTAATAATGTAAATCCTAAAGCAAAACACCGACAGAGATAATAAATAACTCAAATGACTCAGAAAAATAGTGACTAGTTTTTAGATCATTTCAAGAACCGAATAATCTATCAGAGTTATTTGAAATTGATACAAATAACGATAATATTTTATCGTTATGCCAATCTTTATTTATATATACTATATATGTCAGATCAGTGTTGTCATTGAACTTGGACTTGGACATTTATTGGACTTGGATAGTCCATGTCCATAAAAAAAAAAAAATTATGTCCAAGATGATTTCTATGTCCAAGACAATAATAATAAAATTATAAATTTATTATACATTAAAATAAATCTGTAAATTCTCTTACTACAAATAACTGAATAAAAAGTATAAATAATTCTATAAAAATATAAAAAAGCAACTCATAAACTTGACAAATATTTATTTTATTTATTTATTACGTATAAAAAATTTTAAAAATTATAAAATGTATATAAATCTTTATAAACCTTGACCCGGTATCACATATCTCCTTTAGAAGAATAATAATAACTCTTGTAACATCCATTGTTTTTCACTGCTATACTAACAAGATATATTTAGTACTTGTACATGTAACCTTTGGGTTTATGATATACTAATTAATCAAATCTATGTAAGGTATATATTGTAATAAAAACTACTAACGTATATAGATCAGCAAAATCATTAAATTTACTGACAAAGACTAGTGTTCAAAAAACCGACTCATCCCACGTACCTACTAATTTTTTCTAGCAATTTATACAATTTAACATAATTAAATGAAAAAATTAGTTGGTACGTGAGATGAATTATCGATTTTTTGAGCACTAGTCTTCGCTAGTAACTTTAACGATTTTGCCGATCTATACATAAAATCTGTGCTATTAGTTTTTATTACAATACTTTGCATAGATTAATTAGTATATCGTAACCCCAATGTAACCTGTAAATCGAGAATGTATACGTACTCAATTTATTTAATCTGTGCTAGTATACTTCATTTGAAATATAAAAGTCATAAATAAGTTAGATATCACTAAATAAATATGTCTCGCTAAAAGTAATAGAAGTTCTTTACGGTAATAGAATTCAATCAAATAATCAATTAATTTTTATTGATGATTAAAAAATTAATAATACAATTCGGATTCAATTGCCAAAGAATTCCAACACAATATACATTTAAACTTTTGTTAACCTTAAGCTTGTAAGTTTCAAGATTTTGAGACCGATATACTAAATTTATTTATTTACTAAAAAATGTTCTGATTTTAAAAAGCACATTCTATTTTCATCCAAATATAATCTCTTAATAATATATTATTTGATTTTTAATATTCTATTTTCCAAATTATTATAACAATTTAATAATCGCCAAGCTTAAATAAGCTCAGCATTATTGTGTAGGTACTAACAACTGCTTTGCC